CCAAAGGTCTTCCAATAGGTGCAATAAGACTCAGGAGATGGATTTGCATATTGCGCAAACATGACAGATATGCATTCAGTCCAGTTGGAGGTGCAGCACAAGCCATACTTGACTATCTTGGAGATGGGTCGACACTTCCTCGTATCAAACATTGGGCATGACTCCTCTTGCCCAATGGACAGATTGCATGGTCTGTCTGGAGAGAGACACTCAAACCATTAGATCAGACTCGCACATCATGCAATGTGAAAGTGAGAATTTCGGACATTTATGTGATGAATGTTACTGATGCATCCTAGATAAAATATCATGGGGAAGTTCGGTTCGGCAAGTTCTATACTTCACCAGGCTTTCAGTTGAAGCAGGCCTTGACGATGATCGTGACTGGTGCTGGCACATGTTGCCCTTATTCAGATGTATTCCCATCCAGACGATGACCTTCTCCAGCTCTCCTCACATACCGTCACATCTTGCTCCCATCTTGAAGATATTTGCATCATTAGCATAAAGCAGATCCTAAGTGTCGTTGTGATGATTCCGCACAAGCCTATACTACCTTCTGGAGTTATGGATGAAGAAGGTCGATTTTTCATGCTGGAGAAGCCTGGATTAGATCTTTCAAGCATAGGAATCGCTAATATCCCTCCTGATGATGAGGACAATGTTCCAGACATAGAATAACCAGTAGACTGATAGAGCGTCTATTTTTTGTTACAATTGCCAATGTATTACAACAGGTATTTATAATGAGGTATTGTTTCTATCGTTGGCGAGTACAAAATATAAGAGCGAGTGTAACATACATCGAGTGAGTGCAACAGTGAGTATGAGTGAGTGCAAAATATAATGGGTGAGTGCCAAATACAACAAACAAGCAGAACATGCAGACAGAACATCAAAAATCTAAAGAAAGGAGGGTTAAAAATCAAAGTCGAACATCTTTGTCTTGCATCTTTCAATCTGTGCCAGCCTCCTGGGGATATCTGACACACTGAATGGCCTAACGATATGACACCAAGGGCAAAATTGATCAAGGAGGATCTGCCTGGTAGCGGGATCTGGGTTCCCGGTGATTTGAGACAGATGAATACATGGTGTTGCAGTGCCCGATGCACATGACCTAAAAAATGAGTGTTTATTATACCCTAGATAATTGAGGACTTACATCTCAAGCTGATCCAAATCACTGAGAGCGTCCTCCTCCTTGATTGCCAGGACATCTTCTTTGAACTTGATCTTCCCCTCCACTTTCTCAACCTTAATCCCTACATCTGCTTCTTCAGCCATTGATTCATGCTTGGTTTCCAAGTTGCTAGTATGGTGATATATTAGTCCAATCTATGTCTTTTATAATAATCAAATAATACCTTGTGCTTGGATTTGGATCTGCACCATCACACAGGCGGAAAATGAGGGTCTGAAAGAGATGTAGCACTATAAGCACCACATAGTAAATGGGGAAAAATAAACTTACTTTGACTCCCAGTGTTTCAATGTTTAATTTGATGCAATAGTTCTTCCAATTGGGAAGAACACCGTCAATCTCAAGGAAGATAACATTGCCACAGACGCTGATGCTATCAGTCTTATTAATGGTAAGAGAGGACATAATAACTGATCGATAAGGTAGAGGAGTAGAGTTTGCATAAAGGTTCTTGGACTTAGACGATCAGAGAGATTGCGGCAATTCCCAGCAGGGTTTAGATACAATATCATTGGCCTCACCATATACTACAGAGTGTCTCCGTCTCTTAAATTTATCACTCCAGGATGTTTTCTTCTGTCAACAGAGGTTCTATGAATTTAAATGGGGGGAATTTCTTTCACACCATGCATAACTCAAGCCATCCTCCACAGAATCCACATTGGGGGCAGGAATTTACTCCTTCCCCCCTATCTACCGGCTCTACTAGTATTCCTGATGGGGATTTCTTTACAGATAGTTCCAGGATCCCGCAGCCTCAATTTCAGCCCGTATGTTTGCTCTTTGTGCTTTTTTTGCTAACAAAAACATTTTTAGGGTGCATACATGCATGAAAACCAACAGTTTCAGATGCTGCGTGAACAATATAGGGCACTGGAGTCACAAATTGTGAAGGTCACAGCTGAACATGATTCTGTCATGTGCGTATCTTCTTGGTTTATTTATTTTTACTTACACTTGATAGTGCTGCATATCAATATCTTGCAAGTGCAGTTTGCTTCCCGATTAATGACCCATTCCAATTCAATCCTTTGTCGATCCCAACACCAACAAGTACAAGTAATGCCGAATGCCCAAATCCAGAGACACATCCAAATGTTCGGTTTTGGGACAAGGCTGAGTACCTCAAGTGGTTGGATTCTGCTGATGCTGAACACACTGCACTGTGTGGCAAGCTCACATTCCTGGAGGACAGCAATGGAAATCCAGTTTCTGAAACCACAATCAATGCTATCCGTAAAGCTCTGTGTGCAGCATGGTCAGAGCTCCTCATTTGCAAACTCGCACCTTTGACTTGGGGGAAGCTGACTACATCAGGCACCCAGCTGATGAATAGCTTGATGGAAAATGCCTACCCACTATTTAAGCTCGCCAACAATGGCTGGAAGCTTGACTACCTTGCTACAATGTCTTACTCGTCTTGGCAGCGAAATCACATGGATGAATGCAGTAATCCACTAGTGGGTGGTGATGAGGAGGGTGATACCACTTCAAAAGGCAAGAAAAGAAAGCAGCGTATTAAATCTGAAGCACCTGAAGTCCCTGAAAAGAAGATCAAAGGTTCATCATACTGCAGTTACCGACAGTGACTAATACTCCCATTTTTCAGTTGATTGTGGTGCACTAGAGATTACCATCCTACCACTGACTCCTCCACCATCGTCTATTTCATCTCTACCAGAATGCCCAACACCATCCTTGACACCATCATATCCTCCTCAAGTGGAAGAAGGTGCAACAACAACATCAGCAATTCCACAAGAGTCCACTCCACAAGTCCATGAAGCAGTCGCTGTACCTGTTCTTGAAGATATTCAGCCTAAGAGCATCCTTCCCGAGCCTATCTGTGCTCCAAAACCTGTCAAAATCACAATCATTAATCCACTGTGAGTCGCCCATATAGCTTTATTCACCACTAATGACTTTAAACAGCTCTACACTGGCATTTGTTGCGTCCAGTGTCGCTTCCATCAACCCATCACTTGAGCTACAATCTACCAGTGAGCCTGCACCCAAGGATGTGCCAGGAAGTGTTCTTCAAGTTGCTCCAAACTCTATGAGCAAAACAAAAACAGTAAGCAAGGGACCAATGCGCCCAAGTCCCACAAGAAATGGATGGTGAGAGTGCTTATCATGTTTTGCTCATTATGTGCTCACTATCACAATAGAAATTTGTGTGCGTTGCATTGGCTTAAGCAGATCAAGTGAGGTGGGAAGATGGACGAGTTCAATAATTACTATGGGTCACTAACACCAGATCAGTGTGGGGTAAGTGATCCATCTGCTGCTGTGTCACTCCAAGTCATTATTCTTATTTGCTCAAATTTCAGAAATACAATGAGGAGGCTAAGATTCTGGTACTTGGTATTGGATCCTTTGTCTACGATACTAATACAAGATCTGCAGGTTGCCAAGAATATGTGGACCAAAAATGTCAACGAGGGCCATGTCTACTAGACCACATCATACTACCATGACATTTCCCATGTGCCTTGATGCATTTTTGTGCCTGCCGCCTCTTCTCTGCTCTGTTCACCATGTCTGCTCTCAACATGTTTCCGAGGTGTGCTCCACCCGTTCTCGAACCATTTCATATCAGTTTCGCATTCCTACTAGACCGCATCATACCACCATGATATTTTCCATGTTCCTCAATGCATTTTTACTCTGATTTGTACCTCCCGCCCCTGCGCTGCTCTCAACATGTTTCCTGAGGTGTGCTCCATTCATTTTCGAACCATTCCATATCAGTTTCATATGTTTTGCAAGTGCTTTCAGATACCTATACTGCATAATACCTTCTGTGCAATCAGAGCATATTTGACACTATTCTGGCACATCCTGCAGCAACAGCGTGAGGATGCATACTAAAACAATCAGAGCATATTTGAGAGTATTTAAGCACATTCTGCGAGGACAGTATGAATATGTGCAAATATGTCTAGATGTGCTCAACGTCACAAGAAGCACAAGGGAGCACGTGGAGCACTGCCCTGTCTTATAGAAAATGTGCTGTGAGTCCGGATATTGGGCGAGATGTGTGAGTATGTGCTCTGTCTCTCGAGTGCGCATCTCAGCAGATTCTGTCCTATTTTGGCACAGCCAGTTCTCACTGGGGTTCAAGGTTCAACCTCAACCACGCTTGTTGCTGAGTACCTTCAAGATCAATATTTCCCAGGCCATGCCCCACTGTTCAGCATCCAGCGTCTGGTACTCCTTGCAAAACCACTTTAAGATGCTCCGTCAAGATCATTCTGAAGTAGTTAAAGACAACAGTGTGCATACTATGAGTACACGTGGATTACCACGATTCGGATGGACAGGGTGAGTTTAATATTTGTGAGCATGCCTACAGCATTTGAGCATATGTTTTTTATACATGCAAGTACTTGTCCCTGTTGGACCTCGGAGCTTCACACAAGTTCGATAGACTGACACAATCAGCAATACACCTAGTATTTCAATTTGCCTTGTATCCCCGTGAGCACTATTTAGCTACTTATGATTCCCTGTAACTTGTTCTGCATAAAGGTCTGATTCTGCATAGTAGTTGCCCTGTGTACGATACTCAACACGATGATATTTGATGCAAGACAAGTCTTAATAAGAATAGAGGTCTGCTGCGGCCTTAGTGGTACATGGGTCTGGTTCTGGAGACTCTTCCTGTATGCCACATATGGTCAGTTTGACATGATGAGTTTGGGTGTGAAACAAAGCTTACATGCCCAACTACCACTGGCTTGCCTGGGTCTGGTTCTGGGGACTCTTCCTGCGTACGTTGTATGGTGAGTTTGACACGTTCTGTCTGAAGCAAGGCTTATGCATGCAAGTGCTACATAATTGGCCTATGCAATTGTAAGATCAAGGTGATATCTGATGCCGTGGCGAAGCTAGGCTTACTCAGACCACCCTCGCCATATTGTTACGCCTGTCAGGGACCTGTGGATGCCGTATGACGACATGACAATATTTGACACGAGGTGAGGCTTACTGGCACACCAGCGCTGACAAGGGCCATCAGGCCAAGGAGAACAACGAAAACAGTAGAGAGGCGGGTAAACATGATAGTGAGTTGATTTCACTCAGAGCTTGTTGGGAACTTGATTGTTGGTGCTGCCTGTTTTTATACTCCGCAGAAGAGGACATCAGGTCATGTTTTGGACATATGACAGTGTTGCTAGAATTGAGATGAAACTCTTCAATATTCATCCAAAGGAGTTATCTGTCAATGTATACGTGGCTCGAGTCGATCCAATTCAAATTTCTGCAGGGCTGCAAGATTTGTGACAGCCAACTAAATACTGGTTGCCGTACGTATACTTCTGCTTCGATCAATCTCTGACTTCCAAATTAGAGGGGAGGAGAGCCTTGTGGTAAATGATCATCGTGTCCTCCCATGATTTACTTTCTAGCTGAGGGGTAACAGAAATCATCAACAGCCACCATTCCCCCACTCATCCTAGCAATACATGACAAATGGCGAAAACAGTAAGTTTAACTGGCAGTATTACCGTACCAGCGGTGTGAGCTGCCTTGTGTATATGCAATTTACATATGATGTTACTTGTGGATGTTTGTTCCATACTACTGGGCCACAGCATAGGTGTCGAGCAATATGTATAGCTGTGGTAGTGCTGCGAAGGTTGTAGGCTGGACAGCAGGGCAGAACTGGGTAGCGCAATTTTTTTTTTTTGAGTATTAAAGCAAAAAAAATAAATACTAATTAGACAAAAGATGTTAATGATCAATGATTCGCAACAAGTAAGAATGGTGGGTCACTGCCAGTGGTCAGTCTAAGCAAAAATTAACATATCTCCTGGACATGGGCCCATACTACTGGAGACACCACTGACATTCTCACTGTGTAACGAAAGTGCACATCACGCTTGAGCTTGAGGGTGCCAGATGTGCAGGGGACGGCAGCAGGATGAGGTAGGCGTGGGAGCGACAGTATACAGACGTAGGATGAAGAACAATGTCTGCACTGGGGGTGGCACCAGCAAGAGGTGGTGAGCAAAGAATTTGAAGCAGAGTCAAAGCCCAAGACAGCACCAACTTGGCCCAGGTACGGATCACCGAGAAGCTGTGCTGATGGCCAAAGGAATAGGAGGTTCTCCGAACCAAAGCTATGTGCACGATTAGAACAGCTAAATCACGGTGTGGAATAGGGTTCAGTGAAATAGCCTATAGGGATCCCGCTTGGCATTGACCAGCAAAACAGAGCCTAATCATATTTTATTTCTCAGTGTCAAGGTTACAGTAAGGGAATAACAGGGGAATACCATGTATACATCTACTAAGTTAGTATCTAGTTGCAACTTTGCATGTATGTGTATCTACATATTGTAAGAACTAGACTGTAGTTGGGACTGTGTCACTGATGTTGACCATTTGTGTTCTGAATTGTATCATATTATTAGTGCTGCTGTGGTCCGGTTCGGTTTTTTCTCAGTTTGAATGCAAACCAAACACAAAAAAATTACAGCCAGGAAAAAAAACATAGTCAAGGTGTTTGTACTCGTAGTTACATGTCCAATGAAGCCACATGTCCCTCAGCCTCTACTTCTGCAGAAAGGTGCCCATTCCTATATGCTCCCTTCAACAATTGTAATGCAGTGAATGTGGAAGTCACAAGTGCATTGCATCGGATAGTCGAAGTGATTCCTCTGCTTGAGAATGCTTGTTCAGAAGGAACAGAGCTGCCTTGAATGGGTAGATAGTCTTGTGCAATGCACGCGAGTGTAGGGTATTGCAGTGAGTGAAGCTATCCCTGACTCCACTTTAGTGGAAGAGGGTTCTGTTGTGTCAAAATGCCTAGCTTCCTGCAAACGCACCCATGGGAAATTCCCACGCACCCATGTGGGAATAAACGAGGGAACCAAAGAACTCGAAAGTTCTGTTCATCTGTCCATGATGGTCCATCCATACCTGCCTGTGCTGTCTGTCCTGTCTGTTTGGGATGTTCCAGCTGTCCCAGTTGTAAGAGCATGAGCCTGTGTGACTTTGTACATTTAACAATCCACACCTACATGAACCCTCCCAATCCCCTAAACATGCTGCCCATTGTTTGATTTTGCAAGGTACATCAAAGTGTGGTTGCAAGGCAAGGGCAACTGCCAAGAAATCCAGTCAGGCCCTTGGTGAAAACAAAGGGAAGATGCCTAGTGGTATGTTTTACATCTTGAACTATGACATTCTGACCATACAAATACTAGTAGGTCGTTCCTGGCACATTTCTGACCTTGAAGATTCAAGAGGTCAATATTCTGCTTTGCTAAACATGTACAATATTTGTGGCACAAGAGTTCAGAGCCCTGATGTCTGAGACGAGCATGGAGTTTGCATACATGTTGGTGACTACAAGACTAAACTCAAGGAGGGTATGATTGTCAAGTTAGAGGTCATCTTAAAACTGTAAGTCCTCAGTTGTTTTCGTTAGGGTGCAACAGCTTAACATCTTGTAGGTGGACTATCAAACTGCATAGAGACAACTCCAACCCCTGTGACATCAATGGATCTCGTGTATACCAACTGATGTTACAGTATATGCAGCTCTTGCCTTGCACCAAGTACACCCAGCCTGCTTTTGTGGCTTCACTCAAGGATAGGAAGGGGAAAAGAAAGGCTGAGGATGACACAACTGACCAGTCGCCCACTAAAAAGGGTTCTTCTTCTGCTGTGCTCGATGATGAGGATGAGCTTGAGTATACTATGATTGAGTAGGTTGAAGTGATCATCTTTCTCGGTGACTTCTTTATCTTGGCTTGAACTGTATAAATGTACTACATCGTTGTCTTACAAATATCTGTGAATCATATCTTGTCTCAGTGTCTTTGAGCGGAGTCGGGGATTGGTGCTTGTGCCACTATGATTAAGTAGATTTAGTAGCAAAAAAACAAGTCAAAAAAATAACTTACCCCCCACCAGGCCACAATGTCATCAGTCTCCTCTAGTGGCGAAGACAAGTACATGTTGAGCTCTTGCCAAGGATTGTGAGTAAGGTGGCCTGATGTTTGATGTGTCCTAATAGCCTCGCACATCCAATTGTCACCATAGTGCTTGCATACAGCTCTTGTTGGCAGAGCAGATTGCTCTTTGGTAGGTGTTCAACTTGGCAGTGTATAATAGTCATTGAACTACAAAAATAAAATGAAAGGGGGAAAACAACATAGACAAGTACTCACCATGGCCTCCAGATGAGCCCTGCCATCTGCAACATCTTCAGTATCCCACTGACCTTCAACATATGCAAGCTTATACATAGTTTGGATCAAGAACTTAAATTATATTAGATAAGAACAAGTTGTAAAAATTGATAGTACTCACCAAGACAAATAAAATACATGTCTGATTGATTTGTTTTCTTGAAGTATTTGTTGACATTCTTGAGTCCTGCCTTAATTGCATCAGCAATTGGAACATATTGTGGGTCATCTGCCATGGATCTCCATGGATCAGGAAGGCACTCTAGTGTAGGGATCGTTTTCCATGCAGTCAGGTGTTTTGCTGACAAGAACGATTGCTGAGCTGTTGCTGGTTCCTTGAGGACTCGGTGAATAAGCCTGAGGTGTCTCCAATCACTCCAATTGAGCTTGAAGTTGTTGTAAGTCTTGTTGCGAAGAGTTGGCACTTCCTTGCTTTCATTGGCAAGGTTGGTGAAACAGTTTATGGCCTATTTAATTAAAATCAGGCCACTTTTAAACATTGAAAGAAAAAAAAACTCACTTGATGCAAGAGCAACATGCAGTCCAGGCATTTATATAGTGAAGCCCAGTGAGTCCAGATCCATTGCAACAACTCAAGTTCAGGTACATTCTCCTCTTTGCAAGCCTTACAGAAAAACGCATGAGCTTGAGGGGACTTTTGGATCTGAGGATCTTGATCAGCAAAAGAATAGTCTAATAAAGATAGCACGTACCTGCTCAATGAGGGCAAGAGCTTTGCCAAGTGAATTGCCAGTATCAAATAAGGTGTCATTGTCATTGTTCTTGTCGTTACTGATGTCCATGGAAGAAAGCTGGTTATTTAAGGTGTTGAGATCAGCATCATTGCCATTATCAAGCACCTGTCAAATCTTCTTCATGAGAGCAGCTTGAGGTGTGGGGGCAACTGCATCAACAAAGTGGCATGCGGTGAGGTTTAGTATATGTTCCTGGCACCTGATGCGGCATGCATCAGGTGCCCACTGTGTACCCTCAGGATTGATTTCATGTCCAACTGCTTTCATGGCAGTATCATTGTTGGTGGCATTATCAGAGGTCATCCATCCAACCTACAACACACTGATTAGATTCAGTGCAGCAAAGTAGTAGACTAAACTTTACCTTATCTTGTAGTTCATATGTGTCAATGGTATCAATAATCAAGTGAGCAGTATTCTGACCACTATGATTGCCCTCAATGTGTGCAAAACTGAGTTGCTTGTGGCATAACTCCCATTGCTGGGGTTTGTCATCTGGGCTCCAGATATAATGACCTGTGATGCAGAAGAAAGGGTTGCTGATGATTGATGTCCATGAATCGAAAGTCATTGAGACTTGACTGTCTACCTGTCATATCTGCATATCCAGGTCTCGGATCTGATCCTTATCTCATCTTAGATCTGATCCACATCTTATCTCCCTCCAACATCTTGTCATCCATTCTGTCCACTCATCTGGTCTGGTCCACAATTCATCCAAATCCACAACCAGTGCTCATCTCTTTTTGGTAATCCCCTAACTCTGGCATTTCAGTTATCTGTATATCTGTCCTGCTCCCTGATCCATTACCTATGCTTCATTTCTATTTCATTATTTGTGATCTGTTTCTACTTACCAATAGACCATCCATATGCTTCATACATAGCCTTGGACTCTGCTGATTGATCATTCCATTAGATACCTATAGTATATAACCTCCTGTAACTCTCTGTAGTACCTCAGTTCAAATATCAACTTAGTTCTGCTCATTCCCATCCTCCAGACCTGAATACTGCTACTCTCGTCACCCTCCAAGACTTAGGATTGATTCCTATAGTCTATCCACATCTGCCTCTGTCTACAACAGCCATTACCACTAGTT